TATTATTATTATTATTATTATTATTATTGCTGTTATTGTTGTTGATATTGTTATTGTTTTTGTTATTGTTACTTCTATTATAGTGCCATTTTATCTAATCAAGGGAAGAAGTGTTTTGAAACCTGCCGTAATAGAGTAAAAAGTACGTTTAATGTTCTCTGTTGCAGGTCGTTAGTTTAGAATTTTTATGGGCGATACACAAATTTGTAAAGGTAAGTGTACGGAAAAATGATGCCGACTATTGTGTTATTCGTCGAATTCTAACTTAGAAGAAATTTTAACATACTTAGGCTACTCTTCATGAATTATACGAAGCTTTTGCACATCTAGTTATGGACGTGAATTAACGGAAAATTTCTTCTATATCAGTTCCGAAAGAGCAAACTGATATATTTTGATGAACTTCTATTACATTCAGTTTTCAATTCTTAAGAAATAGCTGTAGATAACTGATTTGGTTTTGCATAGCTTACCTGACTAGGGTTTTACGTTATAAGTTATACAGTTACAATTAGTGTTATGCACAGTATGTTTCCATTAAATTAAACACTTCAGAAAACCGTTCAGTTGTTTCGTAAATCTGTTTTCTTATGGCCAATGTTCGTAAGAAGCGAGTGAAGATAACATTGACGTGCAGTGTGGAATTTCAGTTCTGTTCTAACATCGATAAACGATCGCAGTTTCTAACCAAAACAAGGAAAATTAGTAATAATTTTTAGGAATATATTGTTCGTTGAAGGGCAGTTTGGGTGATATTTGTTTTAAGGATTGTTTTTGGAATAAGGAGGTTTGGAGCAGAGAGGACGACGAGTAACTTTGAATCTGTTAGGTTGTTTTCAGTGTTTATTCGCCTAATTTTCGGACATTTCTTAGCCTTCCATGCAATATTTTCTGAGAACGTCCGGAAATGACAAAAGCTGGTTCTTTAATCTAGTTTTGTTTTTTTATTTGGGAGAAGAATGTGTTGTTGATTCTGGACTTTTGTCATTTGTAATAACGATTCTTCCTGTACTGTTAAAGGGTAGTTTTTAGCAGAATCAAAATCAGGTTACTCTGCTTTCTGGTGTTCTCAATAGTTTGTCCTCACTAAGCTAGATATTATTGGTTTGTTCGGATGGAATTCAATTGTAGCAGCACATCACATCTACATCTAACACAGCAGCTACCGTGGTTATGAATGAGTGCAAACCTTCTCCCAGTTTCAAATGGTACTGTTTTATCTAATATCTGGTACACTTAAGTTTACCGTTTTCCAACCACTTTTCTAAACTACTAAATTTGTTTCAGCTGTTACTATTTGAATAAAGTAAGCAATAAACTTTTTCACTGCGGTATTTTCTGCGTTAATTCAAGCGAGTAATTCGAAAAAAAGATGTTGTTTCTGTTTTATGTATTAGTTGCAAATTTCGTGTTACTGGTTTGTTAGTTCTCTTGGTTCAGATATTAAATATCAGTTACTGTGACATTAGTTATAAGACAGTGTAAGAATTCGGATGATGATGGCTTTATCAGTTTAGAATCTTGGACAGAAAACCATTTGGTTATTGATAATTGATTTTCTAGCTATCAAACATTTCACTCTAAAGTTTCAGTACTAACGTCAGAATAGTCCTTTTAGGACAAGAAGAGGCATCTTGACATAATATAAAAGTTAAATTAGTAAAAATAATTTTTGTTTTCAATCGAAAAAAATTTTTGTATCATTGACACTTTTTAGACATTCTAATGAAAAAACTTTTCTTATTTTTGATGTTACTGTTTTCAAACAGTATTTTACAATGCGAACAATATTATACTTTTTGTTATGACAAATATTCCCTTTATGATTTGAATAAGCTAATGAAGTTTTCAAAAAACTAATTAGCATTGCAGCTTCTCTTCCCAGCTACCTGTTGCATAAGCAGCTTATAAGTGTTAACCACTAAGTAATAGTCCAGGAAGTAAATGCTGTTGATTTTTTAAAATGTTCTCTAAATATGAGTTGGAAAAATCAAAATTCTGACGACAAGTTAAAAAAAATGGATTCAATTCTAGGGACTTTTTTCGAGCTGCGGTCAATTTT